GCACTCGAAGGTGTCGTTGTCAACTGAGGCCATCCACGAACTGCACTTCTGGGTGGAACAGTTCGACCGTTTCAACGGTGCACCATTCCATCATCCGCATCACTACGACGCCATCATCCAGGTGGATGCCAGTGCGCACAGCTGGGGTGCCACCCTCTCTACTTTTCACGGAACACCGAGCAACGCAAGCGCTGGCATGCCCGACAACTTGTGGCCAACCTCAAGTACGCGACACGAGTTGGAAGGCGTGCTCTGGGCGCTACGCACCTTCATGGACCGTCTTCGACACGGCCACACGTTGGTTCGCGTGGACAACCAAGGGGTCATGTTCATCCTACGAAAAGGCGGCTCGCGCAATAATGAGCTCACGCTCACTTGCAAAGAGATCATCACTCTATGCATGGACAACGCGGTGCGACTAGCCATCGAATGGATTCCCAGAGATCAGAACACTTGCGTGGACGAGCTCTCAAAGCTGCAAGACCACGATGACTACACGTTGAAACAACCTTGGTTTCGTCTCTTGGACCGTCGGTGGGGGCCTCACTCCGTCGAACTGTTCGCAAATGCACAGAACGCATTGCTGCCTCGTTTCTTCTCTAAAGCCCCTCACCCGCGAGCCGAGGCCATCAACGCATTCTCCAAGGATTGGCACGGGGAACGGGGCTTCGCATTTCCGCCCCCCCACCTCGTCCCTGCAACTCTCCATCATGCGCGTCGCACACGGGCAAAGCTAACCCTGGTGATCCCTGAGTGGTCAGGGGCAGCCTGGTGGCCCCTAGTGCAACCGGTCCCTCAAACATGGGCCATAGGAATTACTAGCCACCTTCGCCTCGCAAGCGGGAGTCCGTGCCTCCAACCAGGCACACACACTGCCGCATTCTCAGGCACTGGATTTCCCAATAGCCCGATTATTGCATTGTCCATTGACTTTACAATGTAACTCATATATATTCCATGTATGGCAGATATATTATCCAACCTTCAAAAGCAACTCCTCTCGGTAATCAGCCAAGTACGAGCTCCTTCAACAATCCGCACCTACGACCCCTACTGGGGAAAATTCCGATCATTCTGTAACAAGCTATCACTGAGCTACCTACCCGCCACAGACTTGACACTCGCGCTGTACCTGGTATACGCCCTCAACAAGCACGCCACCCTGTCCGCCATCACGCTGACCTGTTCAGCAGTCGCATTCGCACACAAGATGACTGGCCTTACTTGTCCCACGAACGGCCCCTTCACTTCCCAGGTCCGAGAATTCGCCAACACCACTCCCCGCGCCCAAACAGGACTAAAGAACCCGTGTCTCTTCACCAGGTTCACCAGATGACACACGAGTTCATCGCATCCGACATTCCCTCCGTATTCCAGAAAGGCCTCATCCCATTGCTCATGTACACGGGCTTTCTCCGCTTCTCGGACCTCGTCGCAATGCAGTGGCAAGACATCCAGTTCGAGGAGGCGGCGATGTGGCTATTGATTCCCCACTCCAAAACGGACCAAGAAGGCAAGGGAATATGGGTCCCAATCGCGACTACACCCGGACCATATTGCCCAGTAAATATCACCAGACAGTTCATCTCGCTTGCCGACTATGACGCCTCGACCAAAGGACCACTGATACGGGTGTTCACACGTGACTCCAAAGCAACTCCGCACGACCACGCGCCTTCGTACCCAACTGTTCGCAATTGGTGCTTGGAAGCATAAAAAAAGGCTGACCTCAACGCCAACCACTTTGGCACGCACTCCTTCCGCAAAGGAGCAGCAACGACGGCGGCAGGCATCGGAGTCTCAGATAGGATGTTCAAGCGGTTGGGCCGTTGGCGCAGCGACAACGCAAAAGACCTCTACGTCACCATCGCACACGACCAGCTTGTGGCTGCCTCCCAGCTGATTCAGGATCCTATACGGGCTCCCTCCCCGAACCAGCACCAATTGTCTATCCAGCGGCATCGCCGATCGACCACTCGCTTGTCTCATAAGGCCCATATGAAATGAAGCACGATGCCTTTACAAGTTGCAGAATGCAAGCTTTCACAATATGTAAAATTTTAAAAGTGTGTAACACTTTTCAAAATTGTGTATTGTGAAAGTGTAGCGATTGCCAACGCAGCAAAGGCAGCGTCGCATCGCTACTCGCCCTCTTTTGGCTACAAAAGAGGGGGTTGAGGCCATTCGGCCTCACCCACGTTCTTCTTTTCAATTTCGAAGTTTGAGTTTCCCACCCACCCACCCAGGTAGTCATTGTCTCTAAGATTCTTGCTGTAATCGTAGTTATCATTGGACGAGATTGATGTACTCATACCCAAATGAAATGAAGCACGATGCCTTTACAAGTTGCAGAAAGCAAGCTTTCACAATAACCTTAAAATAGAAGATTCTTGATGAAACCCCGACGTGCTTTGCCTTGACGCAAATGCTCCAGTCTGTTTCTTTCGTTGAGACTTGCGATGCTGTTCTCGTCTTGATTTATGTTGAATGGCAGAAAAAATCGATAATCTGAAGACATTTCGGTTGGTAATTATCTTGCACTTGAACTTGCAGCCTTGCATTGCATGAGTATCGAACTCTTTTTGCCCTCTTGGACGTAGCACTGGAACCGTCTTTATTTCGTAAGGACGAATGGAGCAATGTCTTGATAACCATGTGCAGTTCAGTGACTGAAGGAAAGGATCACGCAGGAAAAACCTTGACGATCTAGTGCTCTCTGTGTGAGCACAATGTTGGTGTCTTGGTAAAGTTCTCGTAGATTCCAAAAAGAGTTTCAGATCCTGAAACTGACAATGTTTTGGTTGACATTGTTAGCAATGAAAGTCCTCGACAAGAGTGACGGCGACTAGCCACGGCGCCTCTCTTGACACAACGGAGCTAGGACCACGAGATGTGAGACTAGAATCCAGCCGAACAGTGCTATGCGACCTGACCTACCTTGGGTGACGATGCCTCGAGTAGTGTCGAAACTCGTTACTGGCATCCCCCTCACAAGCCGTGGATGTTTCCAGCACCTGTCAGATTTGCTTCGGGAGTGTTCGTTAGTATGCCTCTTTGCGAACGCCCCAAATGACTTTGTCAAGGTTCAAAATGCCTTCGCCAATATCTTCCTCACACAAATTCCATTCCCTCCATTACTGTACACAAAGCGCCCAGGAATCTCCAAGAATCGCCGGTTTCCGATTTTCGTCGATATTCCTACGCGCCTGTCGTAATCGCAAATACCTCCAGTATCCCTCCTCAATTTCGTTTTGCCTATAATTTTGCGCGCCTCGACGTAGAACTCAGGAACGGAGATACGATTCATTTTCGCAATAAAATCTTCCAACGTGGGGAGACCGCGATCAGCATGGCCGTCGTATGGTTCGCGGAAGTTTTCGATGGGGTATTGACGTTGAATACAGTGGAGGCGACGTGTTCCAGGACCCCTCTCTGCGATGGACCTTCGTTCAAAAGGCAAGAGTCACGCTTCTTAGCTGCTCCTCTGCGTTTCTTTCTTCCTTTCTTTCTGTCTAGGCAGACAATTGTTTCCTTTGCATACTGTCCCACCTACCAATCATATTTCTCGTCTACTGCCTCCTCCCTTTCCAGCTGCTGCTGCCCTCCAGTGATTCCTTCCCAACGCACATCACTCTTTCTCACTGCCTGTACCTGTTTTATTTTGATTTGGTTTGCCTCTCTTCTCCCACCTAATTCCAGGTGTACGGCATCCTGTCCTGCCAGCTGCTGCTGACATTCGTAGCAGCCATGGTGGTGGTGAGGGTGGATAGCGTGCGGGTAACTGTCATTCACTCGCCTCTGCTCGTCATCGCCAGCGCCATCCTCCCCTTCATCTGTAAGGACGTGTTTCCTAACGCCTGTGCTTCGCTTCGTCTAGCTGCTGCTGACCTTGAAAGAATGATACCATCAGCAATTCAGACCAAAGCAAAGACAGAACACTAGGTAGTAAATCAAGGGAGAATATGCCATGTTGGTCAGGTTCTGTTTTTGTCATAGTGGTGTCAAGTTGGTACGGTTCTGTTTTTGTCACTTGTTTCGTCCTGGACAGTTTCTGTTTTTCTGTTACAAGTGTCATGGTGATCATTTTCTGTTTGTTTCTTTCACATGTGTCCTGTTGGCTATGTTCTGTTGGTGCTTCAAACGTGTCTGTCCTCTCTGTTTTGTGATCTCATTTGTTCTGTCCTTTCCTGTTCGTTACACCTTCACATCACCCATGCACTTTGTCAATTCTATTCTACTGTGTCATCTTTCACTCGTCCTTCACATGTTCACACTCTCTTGTTTCGTAAACCTCTTATTTGCACTGCTCTAGGACTTCTTGTACATGGTGTAAAAATATAAATCCACGTACCTAGGAACTTAGTAAATAAAGTCTGGTGTAAGTCGCCAGTTTCAGGTACTGGTCCGAAAGGGCATGGGTTTGAATCCCATTCCTGACACCACTTTTGTTGGAGTAGGCATGTTGGCTTCACAAAGAAGAGTATGGAAGGTCTGGCCCTCGTCTCCTTCGCAAACTTCCTTGCGTGTCTTCGTCAAGGTTCTAGGGTTTTGCTCACACGAATTCCACTCCAGTCTTCGATTTCTTCGTCGATATTCCTTATTCCTACGCGCGGTCGTAGTCGCGAACACCTCCAGTATCCCTCCTCAATCTCGTATAGCCTAGAATTCTGAGCATTTCAAGTAGAACGATCAGGAGCGGAGATATCTTTCCTGCGATTCCTCTCCAACAAACATCGCCCTTTCTCAATGCAATTACCTGTTTTATTCTGATTCGGTTTGTGTCTTACTGCAATTTCCAGCTGTTTCTCCCCCCACTATATTCCAGGTTTACGGCATCTTGTCTTTCCAGCTGCTGCTGACATTCGTAGCAGCCACAGTGGTGGTGAAGGTGGATAGCATGCGACTCACTGTCATGCACTATCCTCGACTTCCTCCCCCCCACCCTGTGCTAACAAACCCCATACCAAACCATACCATACCAAACCATTCCACACCCCCAGGTGTACGGCATCCTGTCCTTCCAGCTGCTGCTGACATTCGTAGCAGCCACAGTGGTGGCGGGGGTGGATGTGCGCTTTAGTGTCAGGCAATCGCCTCTGCTCGTCATCGCCAGCTTTATCGTCCCCTTCATCCATAAGGACACTCTTCCTCACGCTCTTCCGTAAGGACACTCTTCCTCACGCTCTTCCGTAAGGACACCCTTCCAGCCGAGATTGTGTTGCGGGCATTTCTCCTCACAGCGATCGTGGTCGTCTCTCTCACGCTCTTCACCTTCTGGGCGGCACGCAACGGAACAGACTTTTCCTGGCTAGGCCCCATTCTCTTCACTGCCCTTATCATCCTCACATACTCGATGATCATTCGGGTAACTGAGCGTCACTGCAGTGTTATGAGTCATGACCATTGTTAGTTTGCTCCTTCCTGTAGCCCAGGCCTCCTCCTGGCTGGGCCCCGTTCTCTTCACTTCCCTTATCACCCTCACATACTCGATGATCATTTGGGTAAGTCAGATGGTTGCTACTGTAAAGTGATTGTGCTGCTACTGTAAAGTGATTGTGCTGCTACTGTAAAGTGATTGTGCTGCTACTGTAAAGTGATTGTGCTGCTACTGTAAAGTGATTGTGCTGCTACAGTAAAGTGATTGTGCTACTACTGTAAAGTGATTGTGCTGCTACTGTAAAGTGATTGTGCTGCTACTGTAAAGTGATTGTGCTGCTACTGTAAAGTGATTGTGCTGCTACTGTAAAGTGATTGTGCTGCTACTGTAAAGTGAGCATGACTGAAGGACCTCAGTCGTTTGTATAGTTCATACCCCACGTTGCCTCCTGGCTGGGCCCCATTCTCTTAACCGCCGTTTCCATCCTCACATTCTCAATGGTCATTCAGGTAACTGAGCCTAACTGCAGTGTTATGGTCATGACCATTGTTGGTTTGCTCCTTCCTCTAGCCCATGACTTCGCCTGGCTGGGCCCCATTCTCTTAACCGCTGTTTCCATCCTCGTATTCTCGATGATCATTCAGATAAGCCAGGTGGTTGCTACTGTGGGGTAAATGAGGGCTGTTACATTAAATGAGCCTGGCTCAAGTATGATAGTCCTTAAGATAGCTTCATACCCCACATCAGTGCTGAGATACAAATGGTTAACGGCACTGCCCACTATTCCAATGGCCAATTCTGCTCCTACTTTCTCCCCGCTTAGCCGTCCTCCTTTCATATCTTCTTCCCCTTTGGCCCGTTCCTCAACACCATCTATGCTGCCATCGGAGCCATCATCTTCAGACCCTACATTTTCCACGATACCGCATCCCTTCCCCCTCACCCCAATCTCCCCCCCACCAGGTTGTTTTCCCCCGCAAGCCGTATCACAACACTATGTATGCAGCCATCGGAGCCATCATCTTCAGCCTCTGCAACATCCACAATACCGCATCCCTTCCCCCTCACCCCAATCTCCCCCCCACCAGGTTGTTTTCCCGGGTTACTACACCATATATGCTGCCATCGGAGCCATCATCTTCAGTCTCTACATCATCCACGACACAGAGTCCCTGCTCCGACGCTACTCATACGACGAGTACATTTGGGCCTCAGTCGCTCTCTACCTTGACATTCTCAACCTATTCTCCTTCTTACTCGACCTACTCAGAGCAAGCAGGGATTAGGCAAAGGGACATATATAGCACTTCCTTCTTACATAGCAGCATTTTTCCTGCTTTTGCTACAAGTACATTTGGGCCTCTGTTGCTCTCTACTTGGATATCCTCAACCTCTTCTCCTTCTTACTCGACCTGCTCAGAGCAAGCAGGGATGAGATCACTTTTGAGTCGACTCAAAAGTCAACAAGGGACGAACATATTGGTGTGGGTGTGCTTGTGGCAGTTGTTTGTAGCACTGTCTGCAAACCCTGCGTGTCTCCCTGCACCGCTACTCGTACGGCAAGTACATCTGGGCCTCGGTCGCTCTCGATCTTGACATCTTCAACCGCTTCACCTTTTTACTTGAGTTACTCAATGATGGCCGGGATTAGGTTGAAGAGACTCTGAAGGACCTGTAGGGTGCGCACAGCGCAGCAGTAGTAGCATTGTCTGCAGACACTGCCGTCTCCCTCCACCGCTACCTACTTGCTACTCGTACGACGAGTACATCTGGGCCTCAGTCGCTCTCTACTTGGATATTCTGAACCTGTTTTACCTTCCTGCTAGGTCTCTTAAACGCAGGCAGGGGTTAGGTGAAGGGAGAGACGGACCTTTTTGGGAGTGCGTTTGTGTAAAGCATGCTGTTCGGACACGGTCTCCCTCCGCGTGCATTGAGATGTATTTTGAGGCGCCTCAAAAAGTCTCCCTCCACCGCTACTCATACGAGAATTTGGGCCTTTGTCGTTCTCTACCTCACGTTCCTGTTCACCCTGCTACAGCTCACAGGTGGGTGGGTCTGTTTGGGAGTACTTGCTGCAGAGATAGCATTGTCTGTAAACTGGCCACGCACTCATGGAACGGCATGTGCGACTTTTGAGTGCTCGATGCTCACTAGCCCTCTATGATGCAAATACCATGTAAAACGCCACGCTGACACTATGCCAACAGCATGTGTACACTATGTGTGATACTTTGCGTGCAAACAAGAGGCGTGCTGCTTGACTGCCAACCTATGCAAAACCTAAACACTTGGAAGGCAGTAACCTAGCGTCATGCAGCCTACATTTCACGTGCGGATGAGCCCCTTGTGTCAACTCCCCGTGTCAACTGCCGCATAAAACGCAGCCGTCTCTGTTCTCCAAGGAACATGTCATCTCTGCCAGCCGTGCTTGCATCTCCGCCTCCTTCACCCTCCTCTCCTGGCTCTGTTAGTGTGTAAGAGAGTATGTGTGCGGACGTAGGGTGGGGGAATGGGAAAGATTATCGACTACCTGCGCTTGCATCTCTGCCTCCTTCACCCAACTCATGTTTCCACTGCCACCTTACGGCCTGTCACCTTTCAAAACGTACTACTGACCCACCCTGCCCCTGCATTGCAAGCAATAGACTCATACCCTTCTGGCTGGTACTTTTGAGGTGTCTCAAAAACTTTTTTTCAAAGCGCCAGACCCACCTTGCCCTTGCATTGCAATGGATCCATACATACCCGCTTGCCTGCGTCGACTGTCAACTTGATTTGATGGCATCTGCTCAATACCAGCCCCGTCCTGCCTTTGGAACGGAACCATAACCATTGCAACGGAACCATAACCATTGCAACGGAACCATAACCTTTGCAACGGAACCATAACCTTTGCAACGGAACCATAACCTTTGCAACGGAACCATAACCTTTGCAACGGAACCATAACCTTTGCAACGGAACCATAACCTTTGCAACGGAACCATAACCTTTGCAACGGAACCATAACCTTTGCAACGGAACCATAACCTTTGCAACGGAACCATAACCTTTGAGTCGCGATCCATACCTGTTTGGCAGCTCCTGCGTCGACTGTGAACTTGATGGCATCTGTTGCTTTGAGTCGACTCAATACCTGCCCTGCTCTGCCTTTGCAACGGAACCATAACCTTGAATTGCGATCCATACCCTTTTGGCAGCTTCTGCATCGACTGTGAACTTGATGGCATCTGCTGCTCCTCTTGTTCTCAGATAATACATGCCCGTCTTCAAGCCCTGCATGCACCAAGCATCAAAGCAAGAAGCATAAGCAACAAGCATCAAGCAGTGTTGAATTGATAGAAACAATCAAACGGGTGATCGCAGACACTATTAGGCACCCCACACACCCCAACCCAATCGCACCCTCAATCCAATCATACCGACCAAACGAGCACTCACCTTGTCCCACGTGTAGAATTGTAGAGATGACAGCTTGTCAAAGGTAGGAGCATCCGTGTGGATGTTGAGCGACTGGCTCTGATCGATGAGCTGACTGCCCATGTGCTCACATCCCCAGTAACACCCAGAAAATCGCCCCAAAAACAGATGCACTCACCTTGCCCCACGTGTAGAAGTGTAGCGACGTGAGCTTGCCAAAGGTGGGAGTTTCCATGTGGATGTTGAGAGACTGGCTCTGATCGATGAGGTGACAGCAATCATTCCCATGCACTTACACCCCTAGCAGCAGTAACGACCCAACAGATGCACTCACCTTGCCCCACGTGTAGAAGTGTAGCGATGTGAGCTTGCCGAAGGTAGGAGCGTCCATGTGGATGTTGAGTGACTGGCTCTGATCGATGAACGCCCCTCTGTCTGCTGCCATGTCCACGATCGCTCTCTGCTTCAACTCCCATACAGTCCTGTGACATAACAGAAGCAAAGGAGCATTTTTTTATAATGGGGTGTTGGGGGGATGTTGAGTGACTGGCTCTGATCGATGAACGCCCCTCTGTCTGCTGCCATGTCCACGATCGCCCTCTGCTTCAACTCCCACACCGTCATGACCAATACAAGCACACACACACAATACACTGACAAGAGATTCCAGATGGTTACTTACAGCCAGAAGAGTGGTAAGTGACTTCCTCTGGTACATGATTGCTCGTTCGTCCCAACTGCAAGTTACCTGGTTACCAGGCACAAACTGTGCGTCCATTAAGCAGCAAGATCCACACTGACTTGTGGATATCTCTCAGGTGCTGCGGAATCTAGTCACTTCCCTCCACTGATCCACTGCAATACATGATCTCATTCTCGAGGTCGGGCGATCTGAAGTTACCTGGTTACAGCCACCAGCCACCAGCACCCACACTCACTTGTAGATGTCTCTTAGGCGCTGCGGAATCTCATCAATCCCCTCCACCGACCCGTTCCGATACATGATCTCGTTCTTGAGGCCGGGCGACCGGAGGTTACCTGGTTACCAGCTCACACTGTGCCCAGCACTGAGTATGCGAGTGATTGCCATCACCAATCCCCCCAACACTCACTTGTAGATGTCTCTCAGGTGCTGTGGAATCTCATCAATCCCCTCCACCGACCCGTTGCGGTACATGATCTCGTTCTTGAGGGCCGGGCGACCAGATGTTACCTGGTTGCCAGCACACACTGTGCCCAGCACATGCCACATAGTATCCGAGTGACTGCCATCACCAATCCCCTCCACACTCACTTGTAGATGTCTCTCAGGTGTTGTGGAATCTCATCAATCCCCTCCACCGACCCGTTGCGGTACATGATCTCGTTCTTGAGGGCCGGGCGACCAGATGTTACCTGGTTGCCAGCACACACTGTGCCCAGCACATGCCACATAGTATCCGAGTGACTGCCATCACCAATCCCCTCCACACTCACTTGTAGATGTCTCTCAGGTGTTGTGGAATCTCATCAATCCCCTCCACCGACCCGTTGCGGTACATGATCTCGTTCTTGAGGGCCGGGCGACCAGATGTTACCTGGTTGCCAGCACACACTGTGCCCAGCACATGCCACATAGTATCCGAGTGACTGCCATCACCAATCCCCCCAACACTCACTTGTAAATGTCTCTTAGGTGTTGTGGAATCTCATCAATCCCCTCCACTGACCCATTGCGGTACATGATCTCATTCTCGAGGTAGGGCGACCATTGGTTACCTGGTTACCAGCACGCACTGTGCCCAGCACATTGCATGCGAGTGACTGCCATCACCAATCCCCTCCACACTCACGTGTAAATGTCTCTTAAGAGAGTGTCTCACTTGTTGCGGAATCTCATCAATCCCCTCCACCGACCCGTTGCGGTACATGATCTCATTCTTGAGGTCAAGCGACTAGAGGCTACCTGGTTACCACAACCAGCCATGTGTTTGACTACACTGCACCCACACCCACACTCACTTGTAGATGTCTCTTAGGTGTTGAGGAATCTCGTCAATCCCCTCCACCGACCCGTTGCGGTACATGATCTCATTCTTCAGGTCTGGCAACCAGAGGCCAAGGTGAGTGAGGTCGCTGAGCAGATGCTTGTTCACCACCACGAACTCGCCACTGCACAAGGGGAAGAGGGTAGAAGGGAGGGCGAGAGGGTGGAGAGGTAAGTAAGGTAGGGATTGGAGGGAAAACAGGTGGGACTGGGTGACAGGGACAGCCATGTAGGGGCTTTAACAATCCGTTGCGGTACATGATCTCATTCTTCAGGTCGGGCGACCAGAGGCCCAGATGGGTGAGGTCGCTGAGCAGATGCTTGTTCACCACCACGAACTCACCACTGCACAAGAGGAATACGGGGACAGGGGAGAACGGATTGTCTTCTTAGCGCCTCCTAAGGTTTGGCGACCAGAGGACGAGGTGTCTCAAGCCGTTGAGGAGATGCTTGTTCACCACCACGAACTCGCCACTGTGTAGAAGGGGGAGTGAGTGGGGAGAGAGAGTGGAGAGGCAGTGGGCATCGGCGCTGCTAGAAGGGTTTCCTTACCTAAGCACTCGTCTCGAGTAGATATTCGACGTGTACGGCTCGAAGCACTCGTTGTTCCCCAGGATCTGGCTGGTCGAAGCCGTGGGCATGGGCGCTACTAGCAGGGAGTTCCTCAGCCCGTGAGTCGCTATGTCTTCCCTCAGTGCCGCCCAGTCCCAGCGGTCCGAGGGAGTGACGCCCCACATGTCTGGTTGCAAGATGCCCTGGGGTTGGTAGGGGTAGAGGCCAAGGCAATTGGAAAATGGTACAGATGGAGGCAATGGGGCAAGTGGGCATGGGCGCTACTAGCAGGGAGTTGCGCAGCCCGTGAGCCGCTATGTCGGCTTTCAGTGCCGGCCAGTCCCAGCGGTCAGAGGGGGTCACCCCCACATGTCCGGTTGCAACATGCCCTGAGGGTGGGTGGAGTGGAGGAATGAAGGGGTATGGGGGATGGGAGGGAGAGAAGAGGCGGGAGAGGGAGATGGAACGAGGTGAAAATCGGCGCGACCAGCACGGAGTTGCCAAGCCCGTGAGCCGCTATGTCGGCTCGCAGTGCTGCCCAGTCCCAGCGGTCCGAGGGAGTGACTCCCCACATGTCCGGTTGCAACATGCCCTGGAATGGGGGCCAGAGACAAAGGCAATTTGGGAATGGTACAGATGGGGCAATGGGGCATTTGGGCATGGGCGCGACTAGCAGGGAGTTCCTCAGCCCGTGAGCCGCTATGTCTTCCCTCAGTGCCGCCCAGTCCCAGCGGTGTGAAGCAACCACTTCCACATGTCCGGTTGCAAGGTTCCCTGGGGGTGAGGGGTTGTGGGGGCAATGGGGGAATGGTACGGATGGATGGGTGAAAGTGGGCAAGGGAAGCGGCCACTGGCAGGGAGTTCCTCAGCCCGTGAGCCGCTATGTCTTCCCTCAGTGCCGCCCAGTCCCAGCGGTCAGAGGGAGTGACGCTCCACATGTCCAGTTGCAACACGCCCTGGAGTGGGGGGTTGAGGCAAAAGCAATTGGGGAATGGCATGGGGCCAACGGGGCATTGGGGCATGGGCGCTACAAGCAGGGAGCTGAGTTCCTCAATCAGCCCGTGAGGCCCTATGTCGGCTGAATCTGTTTTTTTTAGATTTCGTTTTTTGAGAATTCTCAGAAAACTGTTCCTCAATGAGCCCGTGAGCCAGTTTTGAGACATCTCAAAACTAAAACAGTTCCTCAATGAGCCCGTGAGCCCGTACAGGTGAAAGGAAAGAAGTTCCATATCACCACACCTTCCATGTCAGTTCCTCAATGAGCCCGTGAGCCCGTACAGATGTGGGAAAGGAGGACAGGTGAGACACTGACACGGTAGGGATGGGGAGGGAGGGCAGGGGCGAGGAAGAGGATAGCTGTGGGGAAAGAGGATGGGGGTGGAGGGAGGAAAACTTGGCATGTCTCACCTTCCATGTCGAGCGACGTCGCTTTACCATAGAAAAGAAGTTACATATCACCACACCTTCCATGTCAGCACCACACCTTTCACATTAGCAGCAAATCTTCCACGTCAGCAGCACACCTTCCACGTCAGCAACATACCTTGCTGACAGGGCAGCCAGCGTACGACTCGTAGGTGCCCTCCTCCTTTGCCAGCTGGCAAGACGTGCGCAGCGCATGGTAGTAGATGGTCTCGAAGATATCCCGATTCAGTTGTCGCGCCTGGAAAAAGTACAACGGAAGGTGGGGAGAGGTGGCGAGAGGTGGGGAGAGGTGGGGAGAGGTGGAGCTGTGTGACAACGGACAAGTACAAATGAACGAGCTGGCACGATGTGCGGAGCGCGTGGTAGTAGATGGTCTCGAAAATGTCCCGGTTCAGTTGGCGGGCCTGAGAAAGAGGTGTGTGTGGGGGGGGGGGGTCAAGGGGGTTGGAAGAGAGGGAGAGATGATGAGAAGACGGACAAAGATAGAGTATTCAGGGGAGGCGCATGCCGTGCGGAGCGCGTGGTGGTAGATGGTCTCGAATATGTCCCGATTCAATTGACGCGCCTGAAAAGGGGAGGGGCAGAAGGAGAGGGAGAGAGATGATGAGAAGAAGGACAAAGACGAAGCAATATTAAAGGCGACATGGCGTCCACAGTGCGTGGTAGTGGATGGTCTCGAAAATGTCCCGATTCAGTTGGCGGGCCTGAAAGGAGGGGTAGCGAGAAGAGGAATAGATGCTGGAAAGCGGGATGAACAAGCTTATATATGTCCCGATTCAAGAAATCCAGCAGATCCAACATCGAAACCCTAAAACTGCACCATATATTGTACCCGATGGGGCGATGGCATCAACTTGAAAACTTTTTTATTTTCTACCGACCTGGGGCGAGTCAAAGGGCATGCCGAGCAGAATAAAAACGTCTGCTAGCCCCTGAATGCCCAAGCCAATGGGGTGATGGCGCATGTTGAACCCATGGGTCTCCAAACCTCCTGTGCTTTGGTTTGGTACCAGACCTTGCTTGCATAACGTACCCACTACCCACTACCCACTACCCACTACCCACTACCCACTACCTACCTGTGGCGAGTCAAATGGCATGCCGAGAAGTATGAAGGCGCCTGTGAGCCCCTGCACGCCTAAGCCGATGGGCGATGGCATATATACAAGTCCAAACCCTTTGCTGAGGCGAGTCGAAGGGCATGCCGAGAAGTAAGAACGCGTCTGCCAAGCCTTGCACCCCCAGGCCGATGGGGTGATGGCGCATGTTGGAGCGGCGGGCCTTTCAACTCCCCTGTGTTCTTTGTACCAGACATTGTATGTACCACATACCTGGGGCGAGTCAAAGGGCATGCCGAGAAGAATGAAGGCGTCTGCCGGCCCTTGCACGCCCAGGCCGATGGGGCGATGGCGCATGTTGGAGCAACAAGCCATCCAGAACCCTTGTGTTCTCTGTACCACGGTACCAGACATTGTATGTACCACATACCTGTGGCGAGTCAAAGGGCATGCCGAGCAGAATGAACGCGTTTGCCAGGCCTTGCACTCCCAAGCCGATGGGGCGATGGCGCATGCTTAAGTGACGAGCCAATCACCCTTTCACCCCGCCTTCCCAGTGCGCTTTACCCCACCCAACCCACCTGGGACGAGTCAAAGGGCATGCCCAGAAGGATGAAGGCGTCTGCTAGCCCTTGCACTCCCAGGCCGATGGGGCGATGGCGCATGTTGGAGCGACGGGCTGTTAAAACCTCCCAGTCCTAGAATGAGTACATGAACTTGTCTGACCCACCCACCTGAGGTGAGTCAAAGGGCATGCCGAGCAGAATAAAGGCGTCTGCTAGCCCTTGCACTCCCACGCCGATGGGGCGATGGCGCTTGTTGGACCAACGAGCTGTCCGCACCACCCTCCCTCCCCCCCTCCCTCCTCTCTTTCTTCCTGTACCCCTTCACTCCACCAGACCCACCTGAGGCGAGTCAAAGGGCATGCCGAGCAGAATGAACGCGTCTGCTAGCCCTTGCACACCCAGGCCGATGGGGCGATGGCGCATGTTGGAGCGACGAGCCATCGCGGTTTTGGAATGCACTCACTTGAGGTGAGTCAAAGGGCATGCCCAGCAGAATGAATGCGTCTGCTAGCCCTTGCACGCCCAGACCGATGGGGCGATGGCGCATGTTGGAGCGACGGGCTGACTCGGTGGGATAGTAGTTGACGTCGATGACCCTGTTGAGATTGCATGTTACCACCTCCGTGATCTGGGGGTTGCAGGCAAAGGGAGGGGCAAGGGGAGGGGCAAGGGGAGGGGCAAGGGGAAGGGAAAGGGGTTGATGGTGTATGAGTGAGGACAGTGACTCGGTGGGATAGTAGTTGCCGTCGATGACCCGGTTGAGGTTGCGTGTTCGACCTCCGTGATCTGATGGCATGAGCAGGGGACAGAAGCAGGCAGGGGAACGGGAGGGAGGAGTGGTTGAGGACGGGCTGACTGGGTGGGATAGTAGTTGACGTCGATGACTCTGTTGTGATTACGTGTTACCACGTGATCTGAGGGTCACAAGCAAAGGGATAGTAAAAGGGAGTGGGTGGGATAGTAGTTGACGTCTATGGCTCTGTTGAGATTGCGGGTTACCACCTCTGTGATCTGACGGGCGTGAATATTGGGAGACGAAAGCACGCGGGGGAGCAGAAGGGAGCCGAGCACGAGGGTGGGATGAAATTTTCCGTCGATGACTCTGTTGAGAGGATACACAATACAAACCTGGCGACTTTTGAGGCGACTTTTGAGGCCCCTCAAAAGTCCGTCGATGACTCTGTTGAGAGGATACATGATACACGATACACGATACACGATACACGATACACGATACACGATACACGATACACGATACAAACCTGGCGAGTGGTGGCATCTATCATCTAAGTTGGTGAGAGCATGGGGAGACAGACAGACGCAGGCGGTGGAACGGAAGGGAGGAGTGGCTGGTGGGCAGCACAAGAGGAGAAGCACGAAGCAAGTTGAGAATGAAAGGGAGGGAAGGCACGGGTCAGGTCATCTCACCTCCCCCAGCTTCTCAAAGTCGAAGAATCGTTGGTCGTGGTTGAGGCTTCCAGTCAGCTTGGACGGATGAGCTTCAGACGGCATCCCCTGCATCGAGAGAAACACAAAGACGTTACAAGTGCGAAGTATGTGTGTGATGTATAGGCTTCAAATCAAATAGCAGCGCCAACTGCACCCACAGAGATACATTACACAAAGCTGCATACTGCTCTCTTTTCGGGGAATGAAACAACTACATCAACACCTGCTCTCACCTCCCTCTCCCTCCCTCTCCCTCCCTCTCCCCCTCCTCCCAATCCCCTCCAAAACCCCAACCTCTCTCCCCATCCATCCGCCTCACCTTCTCTCGCACAAAGCGGGGCAGGACAACGGAAACAAGGTTGCCGACAAAAGTCTCTTCAGGGTTTTTGAATTTGACAATCTCCGTGCACAGGTTGCTGAACTTGATGGTGCCCACACTCCCCACCACTCCCTCACCTTATCCTCACAATCATCCCGCACCTTACGCTTGCGATTCTCCCTCACCTTCTCCTGCACGAAGCGGGGCAGAGCTATCGAGACGAGGTTACAGACTGCAGTCTCCCCTGGGCTCGTGAACTCAACGATCTCCGTGCACAGGTTGCTGCACTTGATGGTGCCCATACTCCCCACCACTGCTCCACCTTAATCTTCCACCACTCCCTCACTTTAGTTTCCCACTTCCGCCTCACCTTTTCTCGCACAAAGCGGGGAAGGGCGATGGAGACGAGGTTACAGACAGCGGTCTCCTCAGGGCTCGCGAACTCAATGATCTCAGTGCACAGGTTGCTGCACTTGATGCTGCCCATACTCCCCACCACTGCTCCACCTTACTCTTCCACCACTCCCTCACTTTAGTTTCCCACTTCCGCCTCACCTTTTCTCGCACAAAGCAGGGAAGGGCGATGGAGACGAGGTTACAGACAGCGGTCTCCTCAGGGCTCGCGAACTCAACAATGTCAGTGCACAGGTTGCTGCTCACCTTACTCTCACGTTCTCCCTCTCTCACCTTCTGTCTGACAAAGCGCGGCAGGGCAATCGAGACAAGGTTACAGAGAGCAGACTCCTCAGGGCTCGTGAACTCAACGATCTCCGTGCACAGGTTGCTGCACTTGATGGTGCCCACATTCCCCACCACTCCATTGACTCCTCTCCCACTTCTCCCTCACCTTACTCGCACATTCTCCCACTCTCACCTTCTCTCGCACAAAGCGTGGCAGGGCGATGGACACGAGGTTGCAGACAGCAGTCTCCTCAGGGCTCGTGAACTCAACAATCTCCGTGCACAGGTTGCTGCACTTGATGGTGCCCACATCCCCACTTTGCCCTCACCTTCTCCCACCTCTCCCTCACCTTCTCTCGCACAAAGCGTGGCAGAGCGATGGACACAAGGTTACAGACAGCAGTCTCCTCAGGGCTCGTGAACTCAACAATCTCCTTGCACAGGTTGCTGCACTTGATGGTGCCCACATCCCCACTTTTCCCTCACCTTCTCCCACCTCTCCCTCACCTTCTCTCGCACAAAGCGTGGCAGAGCAATGGACACAAGGTTACAGACAGCAGTCTCCTCAGGGCTTGTGAACTCAACAATCTCCGTGCACAGGTTGCTGCACTTGATGGTGCCCACATCCCCACTTTTCCCTCACCTTCTCCCACCGCTCCCTCACCTTCTCTCGCACAAAGCGTGGCAGAGCGATGGACACAAGGTTACAGACAGCAGTCTCCTCAGGGCTGGTGAACTCAACAATCTCCGTGCACAGGTTGCTGCACTTGATGGTGCCCAGATTCTGCTGGTTCGACTTGCGATTGCACGCGTCCTGCTCGTCGGAAGATAAGGAAAAACGTTTGAGCGGGCATTCAGCACAGGTTAAAAAGAGCATCTATGATTTGCCTGTCTCAATCTGTGTGCGCCTCACATGCGATCCTTTGGTGCCAAATAGTAAACCACAGCAACTCCCACTTGAAGAGCGTATACAGAATGCCTGTCTCAATCTGTGCTGCAAAGATGAACCCTGAGTATGCTCAGAAACCACAGTAGAGTACACCCACCCATCACAAAGCCCAGCACAGACAAGCACGTACCTTGAACAGCATGTACGGGTTGCCTGTCTCAATTTGTGCTTCACAGATTGCAAACCATAGCTTCTGTGATGGTATCACCCGCTTGGCTCGGCCCTGAAGGAAAAGAGAGGCATATGAAGTGTAAAGAGAGGGGTTCTATGCGCATCACAGATTGCAAACCAGAGCTTCTGTGATGGTATCACCCGCTTCGCTCGGCCCTGAGGAAGACGCGAGGTTGGAAGGGAAGAGAGGGAAGGGGCAGCAGTCAGTGGAGCAGGGAGAGAGTAGAGGGGCTTCTTTTCCCCATGAATGGCGAACCAGAGCTTCTGCGTGGGTATCACGCACTTGGCTCGGCCCTGATGATGCGGAAAAAGGTGAAGAGAATGAGAGGAGAAGGGTTGCAAGAGAGCCTCCACAACCAAGGCTCTGGTTCGCGACGTCTCAAAAGGGTAGACACGGGCTCCGCAAACAAGGATCTGGCATGCGACAGAAGCAGGGTTTGCTAGTAGTTGCACAGTATACACCCCAACAGCATCCACCACCATGCACTCACCTCCCTCTCGTATCTGAGGTACAGCGCCTCAAACTCCTCCCCCCAGCAGTCCGCCAGGCCAGGGGCCTCGTTGGGGCAGAAGAGCGACCAGGGCATGTTGGACTGGGGGAGGGGGGGGGGGGGCGGGGTGGTTGTGAGGGGGGAGGCGAAGAGGGAAGGATTGGATGAAGGGGGAGGAAGGGAATTGGTGACACGCAGCTCCCAGGCCGGGGGCTCGTTGGGACAGAAGAGCGATCCAGGCATGTTGGACTGTGGGGGAAATCGGACGGGCATTGGTTGCATGAGGAAGAGGGGGAGGACGGGAGGAAGGGGGATAAGAGAAATTGGGATGGGAAGCAGCCAGGCCAGGGGGCTCGTTGGGACAGAAGAGCGACCACGGCATGTTGGACTGTGGATGGGAGGGAGAAAAGGGGGAAAGGGGAGAGAGAAGGATTGATTGGGTGAAGGGGGATGAAGTGAATCTAATCGGAAACAAGCAGTAACAAGGCCAGGCCAGGGGCCTCGTTGGGGCAGACGAGCGACCAGGGCATGTTGGATTGCGGATGAAAGAGGGGGTTGGTGGGGGGTGTTGGATGGTTTTGGGAGGGATAAATATGTGTATGTCGAGAGGAGGGGATGCGCCCAGGCTAGGCCAAGCCAAGGGCATCACTGGGACAGAAGCCAAACACGCTCACCTGCACGCGTTGCATGAAGAGGTCAGGGATCCAGATCCCGTAGAACAGGTCCCTCTCCCTGTTCTCCCCCTTGCCACAGGTGGATTTTCCCAAAGTCAAGGAAGTCAAGAAAGTCAACACGCCCATATGTCCTACCCATCCCTCGTCCTCACCTGCACGCATTGCATGAAGAGGTCGAGGATCCACAGATTATGGAACAGGTCCCTCGCCCTGCTCTCCTTGCCATGGTTCTTCCTCAGGTCAAGTAAGTCAAAAACGTCAAGCTAGTCAAGCAAGTCAGCAGGGCTGTGCGCATGTTCTCACCTGCACGCGTTGCATGAAGAGGTCAGGGATCCACAGCCCATAGAACAGGTCTCTTGCCCGGTTCTCTTCTTTTCCGTGGTTCTACCTCAGGTCAAGAAAGTCAAACATGTCCGAATGCCACGGCTCAATGTAGATGGCAAAGGCACCTGAAAAAGAGGGAAAACAGCGGCATGCAATAACAGCAAGGGTGGTTCTTCCTCAGGTCAAGAAAGTCAAACACGTCTGAATGCCACGGCTCGATGTAGATGGCAACGGCACCTGGACGGGAGAATGGAGCGACAAAGGCAGTTTGGAGGTAATGTGGGTGTGGGTGGGTGTAAGAAATGCTAATGAAATGGTCCTTCTTCCCCCTTATTGTCCATTTTGAGATCCCATGCCCTGGAAATCCCATGGGATTAGAATATAAAGATAAAGAGGCATTGTATAAAAACATGAATCCGATTCAGATTCAAACCGAAAACATATGGCCTCTTGGAAACGCCTTGGATAACACATCAGAGTGACGCAAAAGAATTGTACCTGTGCGCCTGCCTCCGCCCTGGTACACATATCTTGCCGTGCCACTCTCAGTATAGGCACTGAGTACGTACGTAAACAGACAGACCCTAGACATGTACACCCTCCTTCAACCTTATACCTCACCGTTGTGCTTGCCTCCCTCCTGGTCCACGTATCTCGCCACGTCCTTAAACACCCTCGACATGGAGAATCTCCGACGAACCCCAAACCCAAAACCCTCAACCCGTCCCCCCCACCCACTCTGCACCTTTGCGCTTGCCTCCGCCCTGGTCAATGTATCTCGCCATGTCATTGAACACCCTCAGCATCGGAACTACGCACATACGTTCACACACAGACAGATCTATATGTAGACTCCCTCCCTTCTTGAACCCTAAACCTCACCTTTGCGCTTGCCTCCGCCCTGGTCCACGTATCTCACTGTGTCCTTAAAAACCCTCAGCATGGGCATTGGGCACTATGCCATCAACATGCCATTCGTCCCACGGATCCCTTGGCTCGAATCGAATGCAGTAACCCCAAACCCCTAAACCCGCCCCCCCAAACCCTGAAGCCCAAGTCCAAAATGTACCTTTGCGCTTGCCTCCGCCCTGGTCCACGTATCTCGCCATGTCATTGAACACCCTAAGCATCGGCACTATGCCGTTCGACATGCCATTAGTCCCGCGGATGTAGCTCCCCTTGGCGCGAATGCAATGTGCGGACAAGCCAATGCCGCCCGCCGACTTGCTGATCACTGCGCACTCCTTGAGCGTGTCGTATATGCCCTCGATGCTGTCCTCTTTCATACAGACAAGGAAACAGCTGCTCAGCTGTTACAGGGGGGTTCCGGAGGGGAACAATGGGGAAAAAGAAGGTGAAAGTTAGGAATTTGAAGTCACTCCTTGAGCGTGTCGTATATGCCCTCGATGCTGTCCTCTTTCATACAGACAAGGAAACAGCTGCTCAGCTGGCGTGGGGGGGAATACACGACACGGGTAGAGTAGAGGTAAGACTAGTGAGAGGTTCACTCCTTGAGCGTGTCGTGGATGACCTCGATGCTGTCCTCCTTCATGCACACCAGGAGGCAGCTGCTGCTCAGCTGGGAGCCACGGGGCAGAAGAGAAAAGGGAAAATAGGCAGGATATAGCCAGTGAAGCGTCACTCCTTCTGGCAGAAAGAGCTGCCACTATGCCCCCCACAGCCCTTAAAACTGGCAGGAAGAACCCTCACCTGCGGCCTGGGTGTGCCGCTGTTGAATAGCGTGGGAGATGCATGAGTGAACCATTGCTGGGACATGAGGTGGTATGTCTGCACTGCTGCCACTATGCCCTCCAGAGCCCTTAAAAGTGGCAGGACGAATGGGGAGAGAGCCCTCACCTGCGGCCTCGGAGTGCCGCTGTTGAAGAGTGTGGGCGATGCATGAGTGAACCAGCGCTGGGACATGAGGTGGTATGTCTGCACTGCTGCCTCTATGTCCTCATTGATAGATTCGTCACGGGTGGAGAGAACTCTTACCTGGGGCCTGGGCGTGCCGCTGTTGAAGAGAGTCGGAGATGCATGGGTGAACCATCGCTGGGACATGAGGTGGTAGGTCTGCACGGCAGCCTCTATGTCCGCCTTGTGAATGCCCACCGCCACTCGCATCAGCATGTGCTGTGGTCGCTCCACCACCTTCCCATTCACCTAGCAGGAGTGAGAGAGGAGACAAGGGAGAGAAGGAAGATAAGAAGAGCAATCAGTGAGCCTACATCCTCTTGTGAATGCCCGCCACCACTTGTGCGGCGGCAGCTGCACCACCTTCCCATTGACCACATGGAGGAGGGCTAGTGAGGGCGATGTAGTTTTGAGACGTCTCAAGGCTAGTGAGGGCGATGTAGTTTTGAGACGTCTCAAGGCTAGTGAGGGCGATGCAATGATGGTGTCCGAGGCTATTTCTGAGTTTACTTAAAATCGCATTGGCATGTGCTGTGGCAGCTGCACCACCTTCCCACTGAGCATCTGGAGGAGGGCTGGCGAGAGAGATGCAATCATGGTGCCAAGGGCTTGAGCCAGCAGAAGCAGAAGCTGAGTCGATGAATGGAATCACCGCATTATTGCTGAGAAGGCCAATCAGTTGAGCCACGATGACATTCAGCACAACTGGAGGGGACTCACCTTGAGCAGGTAGGATCGCTCGAGCGTCTTAAAGCCAAAGTAGTCATAGTCGAAATCCCGGTCATATATGACCTCGCTGTCTAGCCTCTCCGCGTGCTGTTAGGTGCAGGGAGATGGATGGACAGAAAGAATGGGGAAAAAACAGGCCTATGGACGAGGAAATACGTTCTCCTAAGACGCCTACAAAACAGGCTGCTAGGCATGCTGCTGCTACGTACTGAGAGATGGATAGATGGAGAGAACGAGAAGAGAATAGAAGGTTACGCACAGCTCACGCTCTATCCCCCATTATGGGATAAGATCTCTCTCACCTTCATGATAATCTCGTAAACATCATCTGCAATCAAGGGTGCCGGTAGCCCTGACTCTTGGTTCACATGGGCGTACATGTCCTTCACACTGCAGCGCAGAGAGACATGGCATGGCATGAAATGAATTCAAGGCGCCTCATAAATTGCGATCAAGGGTGTGGGTTGGGTAGCCCTGACTCCTGGTTCACATGCGCATACATGCCCTTCCCACTGCAGCAATGAGGACACACACATGGCATGGCATGTAATTTGAGGCGCCCCAGACGTTGCATTCAATGGAAGGGAGCGGGAAGCCCTGACTCCTGGTTCACATGCGCATACATGTCCTTCACACTGGAGAGGAGAGAGACACGGCATGGCATGGCATGGCATGACCATTGGCCAAAGATCAGAGGCATGATACCACCAGTCAGGCTAGCCAATCACAACGCACGTTTCAGAGAATGACTTCTTTGTCTTCTTGTGCAGGTTAGAAACTGCAATCCGTGCAGCCAGCTGAGGGTTCAGGGTTTAGGATTTGAGAACGTGAAGGGGGAAAGAGTGAGAGAGGAGGACATATGTAACAGAGTGGGAGAATACGAGAAGGGGATGAGGAAATTTGTTTGGAGCAGAAGCAAAAGGTGGTGCGTGAGCTTGCAGGCGAAAAAAAACATTACATGCTACTGTATCAACATAATGGAGCAATTGCAAACGAAATTATTTATAAAGAGACTCATGAAGTCACATGGACTCACGCGGCCGGCTATAGCAAGGACGAATGCGCATCACGCACTGTGCTTTACATTGATAAACACGGAGGATTGACTCACGAGGGCGTAGTCTGGGTGTGTAGCCGTCATTCCCGCTGCGGTTTCAGCTGCCAGCTCATCGAGCTGCGCTGTCGTCACACCCTTGTACACGCCCATGCACACCTGACCGATGGGAAGATTCAAGGTGGCAGTAAAAAAGAAAAAAAAAGACCGGGACGGATTTTGAGTTGCTCTAGAAGCTGCTGGCTCATCGAGCTGCGCTGTAGTCACACCCGTGTACACGCCCATGCACACCTGGGAGATAGATCGACCATCAGAAGATGACACTGAAGGAGATGGATCACCAAAAGCAGGACAGGGAGTAATTTTCTCTTGCAACGTCCCAAGGGTGGCAGTGAATGGACAAAAAGGTGATAATGAAGGGGTTATGGCGGCAACGTGACGCGGCAACGTGACGCGAGTGGATGATCTGCCAGATAAAGGAGCGGCTCCTTTACCTGTCCAACCCAGCCATCCCTAATGTTCGCACGAATGACACTATGGAAGATACTGTCCCTTAGGAGGTGAGTTGCCGAAAAGATTCACGGAACAGCCAATAACGAGACGACCGGCGCTCTCAAACAACTCGACTGGTCATCTGAGGGACGGCTCGTACCTTCCTATCCTTCAAGAGACTGCTTATCCAGGGGATGGCTCGTACCTTCTGAGCCACCAAGACGGGGTCGCAGAATTCCGTGCTGAGACCGTAACTGAGCTTCTTCAATCGAGCGGTGATCTTATCGAAGTGCACGGCCTCCTTCCGGCCGTCGCGCTTGACAACGTACATCGCGAGGAGGACCGGAAGCCTTGTTGTGCGGCTCCTTATGAAACGCGAACAAACGATGCCAGATAAGCTCTTTACGTCGCTGTAACCGCGAAATGCAGCACGCTACAGTGAAATTAAGCTGATCCGTAAGATCAGAAACTACTGCTGTTCGTCAGAGATGTTGTAGAGGCGTCTCCTCTACTTTGCAGGAACTCTAAGTTGCACTAAACGATAGAGCACAGTCTTGGCTTTCCAACAAGCCGTCAAACACGTTAATCGCCCAAGTATACGCCGAGATATTGGCGTTCACGTGATTGCTAGTGCTCTTAGAAGCAAGGATAGACCTCTCTTGGAATTTTGGTTCGAATGGACCATGTACAAGAAGATTCAGGATTTCAGTATAAAGCATGCATACAAGGCAGGTCGATTTATAGCAAATGCATTACATCGAACCGCACATGTAACATCACATCGCTACACTCGCGTCGCGAATGCGCCGCGTGTAACATTTCGGTTGGGGTGAAATTCGACCACCGAATTTCACACCGAACACACCGAATTCGCCTTGCACTTGAAGGTTGGAATGTGGTGCCGCCACGTGGCACCGAAGGGTGAGTCTCCCGAAGTCAATCGGTGCCACCCCACCGATCCCTAGTCAAAGGGATCGAAGGCACCGAAGTGCCCTCGGTGGGTTGGGGGCATACCACCGCCCCACCACCGTTTCCTTCCAACACTCCCCCTTGCACCCAAGCCACTAGGTGTTCATACCAACACGCTCACGGCATGCACGGAATGAATCCTTAGGGAGTGGTTTAGTGAGGAAATCCTCGGGTTGCGCCTTGGTGCTTATGTATGTGACCTTGACCTCACCTCTCTCGACCACCTCACGAATGAAGTGATGCTTCACCTCAATGTGCTTGGTACGCCCGTGAAGGACGGCATTGTGAGTGAGGTTTATGGCCGCTTGGTTGTCACAAAAGAGAGGAGTTGGGTCGGCTTGAGGATGCCCAAGCTCCGCTAGAAGGCGCCGTAGCCATATTGCCTCCATGGCTCCTTGAGTGAGTGCCATATACTCCGCTTCCGTTGTGCTTAGAGCCACGGTTGGTTGCAACTTGCTTTGCCAACTCACGGCTCCCCCAAGCAAGGTGAAGACGTACCCGCCGGTACTCTTGCGCTTGCTTTGATCACCGGCATAATCCGAGTCGGTGTAGCCCTTAAGCACGATTGGACCGGCTTCATATACGATTCCCAAGTTGGGTGTGCCTTGGAGGTAGCGTAGAACACGTCCTCCCGCACGCACATGCTCGGTATGAGGGTTGCTTACGGCTCGTCCAAGTACCCCGGCGGCGTATGAGAGGTCGGGACGGGTGGAAACGGCGGCATACATGAGTGAGCCGACTAGCGAATGAAACCGCTTCCCTTCGGCTTCGTCGAGGGCTGATTCTTCCTCTCCCGGGAGGCAAGAAAATCCCGTGTCTAGTGGCGTCCCCACCGGGTTGCTATTACCCATGCCGAAGCGCTCCACAACCCCTTTCACATATTTTTCTTGGTGGAGGTGAATGGTCCCGTTCGCGCGGTCGCGGTCGACGTGCATCCCGAGGTAGTACGTCACCAGTCCCAAGTCCCTCATGGCAAACTCCGCCCCTAGCCGTTGCTTGACCTCTCGAATGAGGTCTTTGGAGTCGGAGAAAAGAAGGAGGTCATCGACGTAGAGCAAAAGCACCAATTGCTTCTCCCCCTCCTTCAACACGTACAAAGCGCTATCACACACGCTACGCGCGAAGCCGTGTTGAAGAAGAAAGTCGTCGATGCGCTTGTACCATCCGCGTGGGCTTTGCTTCAAGCCATAGAGGGTACGCTTGAGCTTCCACACCCGACCGCTACCGTCATCGTACCCCGGGGGTTGCCGCATGTAGACTTCTTCCATGAGAAGCCCGTAGAGGAAGGCGGTGCAAACGTCCGATTGTTCCACCTCGAGGTTGAGAGATGCCGCTAGCGCGAGCAACACCCGAAGAGTGGAGGCCTTCGAAACGGGAGCGAAGGTCTCACTATAGTGCTCCCCCTCCCGTTGAGTGTACCCTTGCGCCACAAGCCGCGCCTTGTAGCGTTCGACACCTCCATCGGCTCCCAATTTCTTCCTAAGCACCCACTTGCATCCCACCAAGTAGGCACCCTTCGGCGGGTCGACGAGCTCGAAAACATCGTTCTCCTTGATCGATGCTAACTCCCTCTCCATCGCTTGCTTCCATAGCGGTGCATCCGGGGAAGCCAAAGCCTCCTTGTGAGTGCGTGGGTTATCGTCGCCGATGGTTGTCAGATCATTATAGCTCATGCATATTCTGTAGGCTATAGTGGGGTAGCCCATAAGGGGTACAACCCAGTTAGGGTTATTACTTGTACCCAATTCATTCATAGTTCATTCATTCCTTGTTTCTTCTCATGGTATCGAGCAGGTTCCCCCGTGGGAACTGTTCCTAGGGCCCACCGTTTTTTTTTCCTGCCCGGAGCGCACTCAGCCCCTGCCCGAGTCGCGCTCCCCTCTCTCGCGCCGCCCTAGCGGCCCCTTCGCGCCGCCCTCGCGGCCCCTTCGAGCCGCCCTTGCGGCTCTATCCGCCGCCCTTCGCGGCCCCTACTCCGCCGCCCTCGCGGCCCCGATCCGCCGCCCTCGCGGCCCCGATCCGCCGCCCTCGCGGCCCCGCTCCGCCGCCCTCGCGGCCCCGATCCGCGGCCCTTCGCGGCCCCGATCCGCCGCCCTCGCGGCCCCGCTCCGCCGCCCTCGCGGCCCCGATCCGCCGCCCTTCGCGGCCCCGATCCGCCGCCCTCGCGGCCCCTACTCCGCCGCCCTCGCGGCCCCGATTCGCCGCCCTCGCGGCCCCGATCCGCCGCCCTCGCGGCCCCTACTCCGCCGCACTCGCGGCCCCTACTCCGCAGCCCTCGCGGCCCCGATCCGCCGGCCTCGCGGCCCCGATCCGTCGCCCTAGCGGCCTCCGGCCCCTACTCCTTCGGCCCCGGCGCCTGCTCCTACGGCCCCCGCGCCTACTCCTACGAGCAGCCCACCCGCCGAGCCGCCCAGCAACCGAGCAGCCCAGCCGCTGAGCCGCCGAGCCGCCCAGCAACCGAGCCGCCCAGCCACCGAGCCGCCCAGCAGCCGAGCCGCCCAGCAGCCGAGCCGCCCTGCCGCCGAGCCGCCCAGCAGCCGAGCCGCCCAGCGGCCGAGCCGCCCAGCCGCCGAGCCGCCCAGCCGCCGAGCCGCCCAGCAGCCGAGCCGCCGAGCCGCCCAGCAGCCGAGCGGCCCAGCCGTCGAGTCGCCGAGCCGCCCTGCAGCCGAGCCGCCCGAACCGCCCTGTCCGGTAAGAGCAGCGCCTCTCTCACAGCACTGCCCTCACCCTACTGTTTGCACTGCTAGTCTACTGCTGTCATGGCTACCCCTAGTGTCCTCGCTTTTGACGCTG